GCAAGTGGTGCCAGGTGAAGGACAATACTTTAGTTTATCCTTTACAGCTACATTTTCCAAACTGACTTCTCTTTTTCGCATTCGGTAGGACTTGGAGAATTCAGAAGTAATCAGGAGCCACCACTTGCAAAAGTCTCACCAACACATGGTGGGAATAGTTTCACAGTCTCAAGATGAGCCAATAGCCTCAGTGTTCATTAAGAAGCAACTGCTGTACCAGGACACTCACTGTCCCTTCATGAACTCACCCAAGGCTTGAGATATTGCCCATGGCAGTTAGAATGATCTGATTTCCTTCAGGGGCTTCCCGGAGTTGGACCTAAAAGTCACTCTTATTTTGGGAAGGGAGGGGTCATTCTAAGGAAGGTGATCCTTCCAATTGGAAGTCCTTTGGGGACCCCATGCTTAGCTTTAAGGAGCTTCATTGTTGGGCACCCATGCCTGTAATCCTAGCTACTTGGGAGCCTGACATCAGGAGGACTGCAGTTCGAAGTCAACCCAGGCAAATAATTCACAAGACTCTATCTCAAACATATTCGATGCAAGAAAGGGCTGGTGGAGTGGCTCAAGGGGCAGAGTGCCTGCCTAGCAAGCATGAGGCTCTGAGTTCAAACCCCAGTGCTACAAAAACAAAATTCCATAGCAAAATGGACTGGAGGTATGGCTCAAGCAGGCTTGAGCCTGCAAGTGTGAAACCCCGAGTTCAATTTATCATATATATATTCTGTTCTTGGGGATGGCATCTACCCAAGTGTCTTTTATGGGGCTGGCAAAAGGTTGCAGCTGGGAGATAGCTAGGATAAGGAGGCTGTGAAGGCAGCAGTGAGTTGGAGTGGGACAGTTGTATCGGAGGAAGGGCACTGAGCAGAGGCTGAGTCAAAGCCACACGCTCTCAGTTGCAGGCTCCCAGGATTACAGAGTAGAAAGACAGCACAAAGAGGGTGGGGATAAGAAGTTAGATCCTAGCATCTTTCTTGAACCTAAGAAACATAGACTGTCTGCACTTAGCACACATGGATTTGGGGGCAAATGCATGCCTTAGGTGCCCAGAGGGAACAGACTCAGACAGAGACTGACAGTTAGGAATCACACTGGGGAAAGGCCTCAGGACCAGTGGCTACTGGGGGTAAAGGCAGCAGGATGGGGTAGAGAATGAAGCCTCAGCTGACCCCAGGTAGCTCTGGAGCTGGAATGGCTCTTCAGAGCGGTCCTGAACTAGGACAAGGGAGTAGTACACCAGTATTGACATCATTGGATATGGGATGCCCTGGTGGGAAGGGATGACCTTGAGCAAGGAAGATAATTCTTAGAGGATTCAACTGAGAGCCATCAGCCACCAATGCTCACAGCAGCTGGGGCACTGAGCACTGACAGGATTCAGGACAGAGGGGTATGATGACACATTTTGTTTCATATTAGATGACAAACAGGTTGCAGGAAAGACTTGCCCTTCAACTCTCAGTGGCCCCCATAATGCCTCGAAGAGCAAGGAAATGGTTTTCTTCAAAGGTCAGAATAATATCTGCACTTCCCAGACAGGATTAGCAACAGGGCCTGTTGTCACTGAGTCTAAAGGTCTTCCTGCTACTGAGAGGGGCAGAAGAGTGTCCTCCTGACTTGGGATCCCTCGTCTTTCTAAGGTGTGACAACTAAAGGCAAGGTTGCAGCTCAGAGCTACACCTGCTGATGCAGAAACCTCATCACAGCAGGTCTCGGGGTGTGGTCCCTGAGCCAGCAGCCTCAGCATCACCAGAACCTTGACAGAGATGCAAATCTGTGGGCCACACCCCAGCCCCGCTGAATCACAGTTTCCTGGGGTGGGGTAGGAAATCTGTGTTCTAACAAGCTCAGATGCCAGGCTCACAGGTCTGTGCAGCCTGGTGTTAGTAACACAATGGGCAGGTGGGGAAAGGGGGACAGGTAGGCAGTGGGGAGTAGCCTATGCATCATGCCAGGTGAGTGTCTGGCCAAGGACAAGCAGGACAAGAGCAACCCTCCAAAGACTCACCCCCACCAACGGTCAAGGGAAAGAAACCAGGCAGGCCCTGATGCTCAGCCTAATGCCAGCTGAAGTGAGGTGTGACAAGGGTGTACATTGGCATTCCTTGGGGCTCTGTGCTGGTTGTCATTTCCTGATTGTAGTTGAAGGGAGGAGCACCCTTTGCATTCCGGGCACTACTGCTTTGTGTGGAAAAGAGAAGTGGAACAGGTTGCAGCTGGGGAGTGAGAGGGCTGGAGGATGGGAAGCTGGAGGACAAGGGGCTAGAGGAAAAGGTGGTGGAGGACGAGAGGCTGGAGGAGGAGGAGGTGGAGGACGAGGGGCTGGAGGACAAGGACTGCTTTGCTCCAGCAGCACAGCCTCATGGATGAAGATTGAGAAGGCAATGCTCCCCCATAAGCTGGTTCTGGAAGATGGTGGTTCCACTTCACGCACTCACACAGCTGGGATCTATGGAAACCTCAGGTGCTCAGGACACCACAGAGGACAGAGTCACTGCTGGAAAGGTCTAGAGCCTAGTAGATGAACTCACTTGCAAGAACATCAAAGGGCACTGACCTATGATTACAGGCGACTTGGTGTGTTCCAGGCTCTGGGCACTGCTTGGTGGAGAGTAGCATGTCATTAAGACTGGACAGCAGTGGGGAGGAGGCTGGAGAAGGGAAAGCCTGGTAGGCCAGGGGAAGAGAAGAGGACAGGGTATGGGGCCCCAAGCTGCAGGAACAGATGGCGGGAGGCAGGGCAGACAGTGAGGCAACAGTCCTCATGAGAAGCAAAGGACCCTGCACATGCGCCAGGCATAGAGGTCAAGACGTCTAGAGGAGCCACCTCAATAGGGTGGTGGATAAAATTCAAGATGCTCAGTTGCATTTGAATTTCAGCTAAATAATGCGTAATGTGTTAGTATAATCATGTCTCAAATAGCGAAAGACTTTTTATTCTAAAATGCCATCCATTATTTAGCTGAAATTCAAATTTAACTGGGTACCCTGAATCTTATTTGTTAAACCAGGCAACTCCACTCCTGGAGCTGGTACGTTTTATAGTTCCCCACATGACTTCTTTAGAAGGTAGTTCTCTTACCACCATCTTCCCACTTTAGAGATGAGAAAATCGAGTCATAGATTTGCCCATGGCCGCAACAGTACTGAGTCTGTTTCTACAGTCTGCTCCTAACCTCAAGCTACCTGAGAGAGTCTGGAGTCCATTAGACCTTGATCGAGTTAAAGTCTGGCTCTGCTACTTCCAAGGTACATGACCTTAGGCAAGTCACTTAACATTTGTGAGAATTTAAGTGAGGTAACTGAACAGATGAGAAGTGATCAATAAATGGTAATTTGATGATGGTGGTGGTGGTGATGGTAAGAGAACCTTGGAACCCATGAAGCATAGTCACTAAGGAAAATGAGGAGCCCAGGAAAGGCTGAGGGCTGGTTTCTTCTGCTGCCACATGCCTGCCTCCAACCTAGCATCCCACCTGCTCCTTTCTCTAACTTGTCCCCTGAGCTGGTCCCATCCCACGTGTGTAATGGGCTTCCTACCTGGAACTACCAGGAACCTCTGTTCCTTACTATTGGTGGCCAAAGTGAGCTCCCAGACATCTACCCAGGCTCCTGACTCTGAGTAGTCTAGCACTTTCCACTTAGCTGACCCTCAGATCTGGCCCTCAGATCACCACACAGGTTTGCCTCCCTCAGGGATAAAAATTCAGCCTTGAGCATGTTGTTCCCATCTACAGGCACATGTGACAAGTGGCTTCCCATCCCTGTTATATAACAGCCTAATTCAGACTGCCAGTATGCATGCTCTGAATTACTTTAAAGTACATGTCTACTGAGTAAGATCGAGACAGAAAATATGTGTTGATTAGGTTCCGTTTTAGTCATTTCCTGCCTTCTCAGGAAAGTCAAGTCTAGAGATTCTTTCCTGGTCCCTCAGCCTCCCACGAAGGCCCCCTCCTGGCTCTAGTTCTGCCATAGCAATGGGAAGTCCCTGTGCACCTGCCTCCGGTCCTCACTGCTGGGTTGGGGATGTCCATAATGCTGGTAATACAACTTCTGGCAAAGCTTGCCTTAAGCTTAGTGCCAAGATGCTTTAAAATTTTATTCCTTATGAGAGTTTTGTCGTTGTTGTTTTACCCTCAGTGCCTCACTTAGGCATAAATTCTGGCAAAGAAACTGACAAAAGTATGGTCAGTTCTCTACCTCCTGGGTCTGACAGAGCCTGTTTTTCCATGACAAAGGCTAGTTCTTCAAGTAGCCCTCCTGATGCCTGATGCTTGAACCAGAATGACCTTTGTCCTAGGTAGTGTGTTAGGCAGTGTGGATACAGCAAAGAAATAGAGATCAGGTTCTGGCTCTCTGAGGCGAATTATAATTATGTGTGTGTGTGTGTGTGTGTGTGAGTGTATGCATATCTATACACACACACATACACACATGCATCTTTTTAATTGAGGGCATTGGTACTGGGGTTTGAATTCAGGGCCTTCCACCTGCTAGGTAGGCACTTTACTACTTGAACTACATCTCCAACCCTCTTTGCTTTAGTTATTTTGCTTGAGTTTTTGCCCAGGCTGGTTTCAGACCACAACCCTCCTACCTATGCCTCCTCAAATTGCTGGGATCACAGGTGTG